CACGAAGCTCTACTCGACAGTGGGACCTCAAATATTAAACTTTTATGTGACGGGGGACCCAAAAAAATTTTTTTTTTTTAAAATTGGGCCAGATCGGTGGTGTGGGGGGGACCAGAAGTGAAAAGAGGTGGAAGACGGAGATGGAACGAAGAAGAAGAAGATGGGGGATTTGTATTAACGGGTATAGCGACAATATTAATGGCGCTATGTCTTCAGATATAAGACATATAGCGCCACGATTAATGGCGCTATGTAAGTTTCTCAGTATAACGCCACTAATAGTGGCGCTATACAGTATCGGTTCAGTTAACGTTACTGTATAGCGCCACTATTAGTGGCGTTATATATACTTTGGTAACTTTTTTTTCTACACTTATTTTAATCTATTTAGTAAAAATTAACAATAGTATGGTTCCTCACTCGAGAGAGAACAATAACACCATAACTGAAAGACATCTATTTTTAGCTATCAGATCAATCCTCACCAATTATTATATCCGTTTCAATTGGTTATTATGATCCTATTATTACTAATTAATGCACTAACACTAATTCTGTTACAATTGCTTTGCCTAATTTTACGTTACAATTTATTCCTATTATACTCAATGAAAGTCACAAATTGTATTGGTTTACTATAAATATTTAAGCAAATCTTTTCCATCACATAACTTTCATTTATTGTTCCTCATCAATCCTTCACTCTCTATAAGAAATCTTCTCTTTTTTAAACTCTTTTTCCATTTATTTGCATTCTTACCCCAGTTAATCTTTTGACACAAATTGTATGCATAACTTTTAATTGACTAGAGAGTGGAGTGGGAGAGTGAGGAAGAGAAGAGCACTGATATTATTTTCGGGAGTATGGGATTCAAACTCAAGTTTTCTACAGAGGTCATATTACTTTAATGGTTTGTTGCATAGTTTGCTACAAAGGTTATATTTTCTCAACCAGAAAAATTGAGAAAATATGTTTAATCTATATGCTCTCAAAAGCAAAGGAGAACCTTAAAAAATGTGATTATTTTTCCGGTTCAAAACAAACAATATGATTTGTGTGCATATACAAATAGGAGATAGAAGGAACTTAAAAAGCACTCAACTCAAGTAGGCCTTTTATTCGGCAATTTATTCAAATTATCCATGCTTCTCCTGTGTGGTTGAGGCTATATTTATCTCAAATTGTGATTTTTTCTTTATTTCTCTCTATTGAATTTATGGAGTAAGTGAAAGTCTGTATTGGAATGGAAGGGGCAATTAATCAAAATTTTAATTTTTAAAGCTTTTCCATAAGATTAGTAGGAGGATGAAGGGGAATTAATTTGGTTAGTTAAGGAAGGATAATTTTTTAGTTTACGGCGTGATTGAATGGTATTTATTATATGAGAAAAAAGTAAACAAGAATATTTTAATAATGTGTATTCTGATTTACAACTTATAATATATTTTATTATATATGTAAAAATATATGAGTATATTTTAAGAACAGGGTGATATATATATATTTGGATTTTGTTAATTAATAACAAAAGAAGTGTGAATGGAAAATGGTGGAAAAGAAATGGAAGGAAGTGAAATTTTGAATGAGTTCACTTTACTAATGCACTTTGTCCCTCATTGGTAGAAGGAAAGAAAATCTTTGTGTATATATAGAGAAGCTCATCTTTTAGCTCTTAAAGAGCTAAGAAGAAGGCAAGCCTTGCGCCGTCGTCGTCGCTCGCTCGGCTTGGCTTCGGCTCAATGGGCTCGATTTGTTCCTACGTCATTTTTGAAATTTATTTTGAAGTTCAAATACTGTTCAGAATTTATTTCTACTATATAACTTTATGTTTTGTTTTCAGAAAGATTATTGTTTTATTTATTTACAGCAATATAGATTAATAACAATATATATATATATATATATATATATATATATGTCATAAAGTAGAAAAAGACTATAATATCTGGATGAGAAGGCTAACAAAACCTAGAATAATATTTGGCTTAACTTGGATCATCGCAAATGTTTACAAGGAGAATGATAGAATTTTGGCATTTTAAACTGTCTAATTTTTTGGTCTCTCTAAATTCAAAAGGATCAATTCAAACGAGGCATAACACGTTATAAGAGTAAGATCAATAAGGAAAAGAGAATAACTCTCTACAAACATTTAAGTGTTGATGCACTTTGTGAGAAGAAGAAAAAAAGGAGGAAAAGAGCGAGGTATATTAGTAAATGTTAGAAAGTGATATTTGAATTTTTTAAATATAGTACATGAATAAAAGAAAGTATAAGGAAAAAATTAATCAAGAGAGAAATTAAATTTTTGCATTTTTCATGAGTTAGTAGGAGGAAATCGGTAATAGAAATGATAGAAGGGTGTAAATACGAGAAAAAGGAAAAAAAAAAAAAATAGATAAGATAAGCGAAGGTAAGTAAATGAAAACGAGGGCCAGAAATTGTGGGAAGTGGAAGATAATATTGGAATGAATATAAGATCGTGAAAAGAATAATAGATAAACAAGAAAAATAACGAAAGGAAAAAATAAAATCTCAAAATGCCAAAATTGTAATAAGAATATAGTAAAAACTTTTTTGCTTTTTCTTTAAAATAGAATAAAGTCTCTTTTATTTTTTTATTTTTATGAAAGTAAGGAGAAGAAAAGCAAGGACATAGATTTATTCACGTCCTAAAATTTTGAAAATATAAGTTTCTAACTTAAATATATCTATTAGAAATCTTAAGAAAATAATCATACACCATTTATTGGATATAATTATTTATGAAAAGAAAATAAGACTAAATCGATTGACTACTTTTGTTATTTTGTTATTCAGATATTAGAAATTGATCATATCGTTAATTTAACTACGCGAAGCGCGGTCAATTCACTATAACTATAGACGAAAAAGCTAATAAATTGACAGTAGTATTCTATTTTGAAATACATTCGTGACGTTATTAATTGAAAGACAAAGTAACAAACTTTCTTTTTAATCACAACATTTTAATATATATTTTAAACATATTTTGATTATCAAAAATTGTAATCTATAATATCTTTATTATTATCATTTTTGCTTTAATTAGAACCATTGAACATAAACTTTTGAGGCGTAAAATTAATCAAACAGGAACCTACGACTTGTTATCAGCGGTGACTATATCTTTCTTTTAAAGAAAAATCTTTTGTCCTAATTAACTGTATTTACCGGTTATCGGTACACCCAATAATGGAAAGATTAAAGGGCTTTCTATAATACTGCTTCTTATCTTCATCCACAAAAATCCCCATATAAATAGGAGTATACCTCCCCTCCATTTTTTTCATTCTTTTCGCCAATGCGAGCTTAACTCATTTTCATATTAGCCCCTATAGTTCATCTAAATTACACTTCGACCACTCTGGTTATGTTCACTGCCCTTCGCCGGGAAACTGAGAGCCACCTCTCTGTGCCTGCTCTCGGCTTCCCTCGCCCCAGATTCTTCCGCTACCGCCGCCTCAGGTAACCAAACAAAAAAATCTATACTTACGCATAAATATATAGTACGGTATACTCATACGATACGATAATGCCTTCTCCGAGAAGTCACCGGAAAGGTACTGACGAGAAGAATCGAAAAGGAAAGTTATCGGAGAAATCCATGTCTTTTCACGGACAAAGCTCGGAGAGCACAACGGAGTTGCTGCGAAGGCCTCGAACCGTACCGGATTTGCTCGCCGCCGGTAGACTTACTGCCGGAAATTCGCTGGAAGTGAAGGATCGGCTGAAGTTGACGAAGTTACTGTTGAATGTGACGATTCAGAGGAGTCTCGGTCCTGTACATGTTTTAATATCGCTCGAATCGACGGTTCAGGACCTTATTGCCGCTACTATTCGACAGTACACGAAGGAAGGACGGCGGCCGGTACTTACCTCTGGCAATCCTGCCGATTACGGTCTTCATTACTCGCAGTTCAGCTTAGAAAGTGAGTAAGAGCCGTTTGATTGAATGTAAATCGGAACCGTTATTTTACGGCTTTTGATTGGATAACAAAAACTGATATTCTCATTTTTTTTTTAATGGTGGGGTCCAGGTTTGAACAGGGAGGAGAAGCTGATGGGATTAGGTTCAAGGAATTTCTTTTTATGCCCAAAAAAGTCAAATGCTGAAAGTGCTGTGGAAGGTACGGTAACGACGTCGTCTTCTAGTTCTAGCTGTGCAAAGCAAGCTGATACAGCTACTGCTAGTGCTACCAAGATATCCTTGCCTTGGCTCAAATTCATGGATTTCTTGCTGTGAGAAAACTTTCACAGTCTGGATATTAGTGATTTTTTAATTATGGCATCTCGACGCAGGTTGGCGCTAGAAGTTCGAGATTATTGTATAGAACATATTATACGATAGATGGAAGTTAGAGAGGTGATTAATTAAGATTTAAGACCACCTCAAAATTTAGAATAATGTTTACCTATTAGATTTAAAATCTTTATAGAGTAACATAGATTTATTTATGTTCCTTGGTACTGTGTTTTATATGTTTGCACATTACATACCTATTTAAGGGCAACTATTTTCCTTTCGACCTTGACGCTGCAGTATGGTACCATCTTGGGACCCGGGGCAAACCAGGATTTTCAGGTCAAAATATAAAGAAGTAAATTTATGAAGAAGTCAATAGGTGTTAATATATATACTATAATGTACTGCTTGAGACAATTCAATAAGTTTATTAAGAATTTGCAGAAAACTCAGACATAAGACTCTGATTTCGATTTTTGCCTTGTATATTTTATTTCTCGTTCTTATAAGTTTTGAGCTATTAGTTGAATTAGTATTATTTTGTGATTTCATTCTTTTATCACAGCCACAAAGAGGGAAGGGCCTCTAGCCTATTAGCATCTCCTATAGTAGGAGGGAAAATGAAACAGTGCAGCAGAGACATGTTGTAGTAAATTGGTGCTTCTTAATTGGCATTGGAATCTTGGTGTCCATTGATACCCTGTGTTAGCTAGTGGCTGAAAGTATACCAAATTTGACTCATTTTATGGCTATGTATGCTATTTGGACTCTAAACAGAAAGGGGGAGTATAATAAAACAAAGAATAAACCTACGCCAAATGTATAAACACACGGAAACTTCCACAAGGTGACAAGAATGCGTAAACATGTTCCTAAAAGATGACTAGAGTTATCAGCCATTTAATTTTGAAAAAAGAAAAAGTTCCTATAAACATCTTTTAGGAACTTTTAAATTTTTTGTTTAATATCAAATCAAACTAAATATTAAGTGTTAATTTTCTAAAATATAATATAGACCCAAGAATAAATCGGATTATGAAGTCGACTTGGTTTGATTTTTGATTTGGCACAATTAATCTCTTTAATTGCGTGTGAAGTTCTTTAGATAGCCTTATTTACTTCAAGCTTGCTTACTTCACTCTAAATTTTTCAAAATTCCTTTTCATTTCTGAATCATAAGTTTGAGATAATTGCAACTCAAAAATTGAAACTTTAAAATAAGAACCTTGGAAACTAGTAATACTGATTACTGTGCAGGTGAGTTTTGTTGGAAACTTTCATCTGAAAATGAATAGTTGATCTTTGTGTCTTCACTTGTGCTCAGACTTCACGTTTACATTTACAATTTATTTATCTTTTTCTCACCAAATTTTATTTTCTTATTCGCTCGTTTAGGCTCTATATAATCGGATCATGCACACTAGGAACAAAATGCATTAATGGAAACGAGGTTTAATTTCTTGATAAATGTGTATCTTCAGCCGTTTTCAAAAAATAATAGCCGACAAAATATATATATTATACTTTTTGGTTAGCAAATGTAATTAATTTCGGCCGACCAACCAATTTTGTATTTTCTCCTAATTTCTTTCATCAAATTGTGGGACACAAGGCTTCTGTCCCGAAAGCAAGTTACCCTCTTTTCCGCTCTGCAATTAAATAAAAACGTTGTCACGCGCTAATGTAATTATTATATGTTATTTTTTCCGGTCTATTTTAATTAATTTTTTGACCTTTTTTTTGTGGTTCACAATATATGATTTAATCAGATATTAAGAAAGAATTAACTTTTTTTTTTTCAAAGTTGCCCTTAGAGTAAAGAGTCTACGAGTATTTGTTATATTTTCAATAAACAAATTAAGGGTTAATATGGTCAATTTTATTGTTAATTAATGTTAAAAGGTGAACTCCTTGATATATGTAAATACAGCTAAAAATTAATTAAAGTGGAACGGATGGAGTAGTGAATAACGATTTCTAAATAATTCTATTCAAAGACTAACTCTTTAATTTTCAGTGATATATTATAGTACCAAGAGTCATTTTTTAATTTCCATATGTATAATTCCAACATGGACACACACTCTCCCCATATTCGTATGTAATTTTCTAAAGTGTATTCCTCCTTTTCTCGTTCCTTTTCCCCCTTCTTTTCTTTTTCTTCTTTTATAATGTCTTCCTTTCCTTTGATTTTTGTTTTTTCTTCTCTTTCTTACCTATCTGTTATTTGGTGGTTTTCTTTGACCTGATCAGTATTTTCAGTTTAGTGTCTGTTTTCTCCAGGAATATTCAAATAATATACTCATTTGGTTTTGAAGATAGAGTAGATAAGAAAATGATTTGTTTCTTTGGCCATATGTCGACGCAATTCGACACTCTCTGAAAGTCTGGGATTTGTTGTATAGTATATTATTATATATTAATAGATTTCTATTTATTTTATGTTTCTCGAGACTACATTTTATGTTTGTCACGTTACACACACAACATACGTAGCGTAGAATTATTTTATGCATCGATGATAGAGTATTTAACTTTTTCGACCTCGACGTTGTGAAATACTCTCTTGGGATGGTGCAAAGTGCAATGAACATACTATATGGTGAAAAATAAGCCAACAGTATTTATAAGTTGATTTTTCAGTGCATTATGTTTCGCAAACAAATAATGTGTCAAATAATACAGTGCACTACTCGATATTGACGCAATTTTCTCGGGGTAGGTGCACAAACATTCATTGTTATGAATATTATTTAGAAATTAGCTAATACTTATTTAGATTTTGAAATTTTAATTTGGAAATCTTAACTTATGACAATTCAGAATATTTTTATCTCGAAAAATTAAGCTGAAATTCATAACGAATTGGCTAATTCCTAAATAGCAGTTTTTTTAGAGTGAATTTCTATAATTTTCGCCTTCCAATTCATTGCATGCTCGACCATGTTTCAGGCTTTTAGCTAGCTACCAACTGAGCTACCAACTGAGGTAATGGAACTATATAATTATATATATATTCCCTTCGAGTTTAAGTTATATTATAGCATAATGTTACAATTTAATTTTTATAGCAGATTATTGTTTAAGTATTTTTTTTTTAGGTGATCATATTAAACTTGATATGGAGATTTACCTTGTGCTGCTCTCTTCTTTTCAATTTTCCTTTAAAGCCGCTAATAAGAGGTACTTCCAAACTCCTCTTTTGTGCCTTTTGTTTTCTCCTTTCTTTTCTCAACCCAAAAGTTATAAGGTAAATGGCGAGAGGACTCCAAGGCTTTTTTAGTTTTTTTTTTTTTTTTTTTTTGT